TAGAGGCAACACATACTTGCTTTTCATGATAAAAGGGTAACTCCAAACATGGTTGATATGAATTCAGTCTCGTTGATTTTATTCTATCCGGTACAAATATGCGAACTCCGCCTTCATGAAAATTTATGTTTTCCACTCTTATTAGCTGCAAAGTTTGGATTCTATGCCCCGTGGAAAGAGCTAAAAGGATTGCTAGCTTCTTGGAAAGTTTCAGCAGAGGGAGATTCTCATTGCTATCCAAAGAGGATAAATAAGTCAAAACTATTTGTGGATCCCAAGTGACATTATACCTAGGCCGAGGAGGTCTCAACCTGGACACTCCCTTAAGAAACCTCCTTATCAATATATTTTTACCTATTTCATTTGGTAAAATTAATGCCAGAGCTGATCTATGTTGATTAAACATTCCATAATTCTTCTTGGTATTCTGTAATTCATACTCCATAAATTCAAGGACAGTAGGTACACTTGCCTCCAGTGGATCTACCTTATTTTTGAGACAATAAGACCACCAAGACCGAAAGGATGAATTATATTGTTTCATTGTTGATACTGAGAGTGACTGCAACAAGGTATTCAATGTGCTTTTTGGATATCCTCTTCTTTCAAAGGCTTGGCTGATAGCCTCCCTGCAACCAGGGTAAGGGTTGCATGAAGAGGGTGAGTCATTCTGAAAGGAGAAGAAAGTAATGTCGGATTAGGTTCCAGTACAACTGGATCTGCAGTCAACAGATTTTTGAACAAGGGGTACCAGGGTTGTGAGGGCCAGTCTGGTACGACGACAATACCCTCGGCACTATCAGATATAATTTTATTCAGCATTCTCAATATGAGATTGAATGGAGGAAAGGCGTAAAAGTATGTATTACTCCATGAAATGGTGAATGCATCAACCGCAACGGATTCTGGGTCTACATGCCAAGATACATACTGCTCTACCTTTCTATTTGCACTCGATGCGAACAAATCTATGTCAGGTTGGCCTAGGCAATTAGAAATTTTTGTAAATGCTTCCTCAGATAGTTCCCATTCAGTTTCTGAAGAAATTACACGAGAATTTGGATCTGCAATATTATCCTTAGTGTTCACATAACTAGCATGTAACCACAAATCCCGGTACTCGCACCATTTCCAAATTTGTTTTGCAAGAGAACAAAGCTCAAGATGCTGTACACTTCCCATTCTATTAATATATGATAGTGCCGTCGTATTGTCAACTCGAATGAGAATGTTGCATGATTTAAGATTACCAGCAAAACACTTCAATGCATAAAATATGGCTTTAAGCTCTAAATAATTAATGTGTTTAATTATGTCTACAGAACTCCACCAGCCATGAGTAGACTGGTTTCCAGCACACGCCCCCCACCCTGTTTTTGAGGAATCTGAATATATTTCCAATGAAAATTTATCAGACCGTATTTCATTTGTAGCTGAAAAAATGTTTTCAGCCCACCAATCAAGGTCTTCCTTGACTAACCCAGAAATTATCATGGAACTATTATAATTCTGACCAGTTCTTTTGAGCGCTAAAAACTTTTCCCTTTCAAGGTATTTAGTATATAATTTTCCATATTTCATTGCTGGACAAGCAGATATTAATAGTCCTAAAAATTGAGCAAATTTTCTAATCTTACAATATTTTGTATTTTTGATCATTTCTATGCAATCATAAATCTTGGATTTCTTTTCCTCTGGAAGTTCAATTAACATTTCTTTACTGTCAAATATAAAACCTAAGAACCTGCATCTCTGGCAAGGTACTAAACAACTTTTTTCAGTGTTGATAATAAAACCTAATGAGGTCAACAAATTGATTGTCAATTTTACATGATTCTGGCAATCTTCCTTTGTATTGCCCATTATTAAAAAATCATCCAGATATGCAACACAGGTTACACCTTGACTTCTCAAATATGTTAATACTGGTCTCATCAGTTTTGTAAAAACAAAGGGGGCTATTGCCAAACCAAATGGGAGACATGTAAACTGGTACAATGTTTTGCCCACTTGAAATCTAAGAAATTTTCTGAATCTAGGATGTACAGGGACCAGAAAATATGCATTTTTTAGATCTAATGTTGCCATATAACAGTTTTTGTTTAAAAGTTTTATAACTGTTCTATTATCTTCCATTTTGAAATGTGGAGGGTCAATGAAGGTGTTGAGTTTTTTCAAATTGAGAATAAATCTAACTTTGCCACCTGGTTTCTTAACCAAAAAATATGGAGATACAAACTGATCCTTTGATGGCTTGCATTCCACTATGGCTCCCTGTGAAAGGAGTTGTTTCACCTCCTCAACAATTTCTCTCTGTTCTTTTTCAGAATGGCAGGGATTACTACTTAGTGTAGAAGGTTTAGTTATAAATGGTATCTTGTAGCCTTTGATCCAAGATAGCAGTACTGAATTTGATGAGATCTTTTTCCATTGTCCATAAAAACTGGCCAGTCTGCCTGCCATGTAACTTACCTTTATTTCCTTTGAACAACCTGATTCTGCTTCCTGGGCTGTTGGAAGTTGCGCCCCACTTGTCTCGATTCCTTCCTGTAATAATCGGACGGGCCTCTGTAGTTTAAATAATTATTTTTATTTCTGGAAGTATTACCAGTATAAGGAGTACTGGGCTTTTTGAACCCACTGGCTGCTGTCTTGGTTTGTTTAAAATCTGACAATGATCTTTCAATTGTCTTTGCAGCTTTGATCCTCTCACTCAAATTTGTTCCAAATAGCAAACCTTCTACAGGAGTTGCATTGGTCAAATCTTTGACAGTCTTATTTAAAGTTGGTGTGATCAGAGCTCTTCTTGAGAGAGACATATTATGATGCACATCTGTAATAAGCTTGGCTGACTCACTTAGCAGACCAAGGAGGATATTTTTATTATCTTTATTGATATCATCCTCTTTCAATAAAATATTCATTCCTTTACCTAAGGCTCCAATGCTGCGGCCTAATTGATTTTGGTTAGACTGCTGGAATTTGTCTTTATTGTGAGTACTAATAGGCATTGCTTTAATAATTTCCTGATTTATTTCAGGTGCTTTCAGTGCTTCTAGGTTAATGGGAAGGGGATGCTTTTCCAACAGCTTTGACCTTTCATCTTTGTCAAGTCCACCCCTCAATATATCCAGCCACCTGTTCTGAAGAATAGGGTGAAGCTCAAATTCATTGGCTTTTTTACTGTGGAGGTCTTCCCCCAAAGCCTGCAAAACTTCCTCTTCTAAATGGAAGTCCACATGTACAGCTAGTTCATCCTGATCCTGAAGATCAGTAGTAGGTGGTCTTCCACCTATAGATAGTAATTGTGATTCCTGATCAATGTTGACTGAAGCACTATTTGTATAGTCCGAGTCTTCTGAACTCTGTGAATGTTGCCTATCTCTTGGAGTATTACTACTTGTGTAGCTATAACTTCTATCTCTGCTGGGACTTTCATGCCTATAACGAACTGAATTTCCGGTCAAAGTGGATCTGGGACTTCTGGGGCTATGACTATGGCTTTGCCGAACGGTGTTCCGTTCGAACTGGGAGAGTCTCTCATTGATGCGTTCAATCTCCCGATCATATCGAGACTTTTTTCGATCTCTTGATCTCGAACGTCTCGAATCTCGGTAATCACGTTCTCGGGACCTTTTTCCCATCTGAAAATCAAGTATTTTAATAATATTTCACTCAAAAAGAAAAGAAAAAACGATGAAATGAAATTTTTGTGACACCACCAAGCACACAAAAAAGCGTAATGACGCTAGTGGGTAATGTAGGTAAGGTAGTATTGGTAAAAAAGGTTTTCTTTATTATTATGTGACGCCATCTAGTACCAAGAAGCGGTACTACATAGTAAAAGTTAGTGATCTCGAGGACGAGGTGCTGAAATATAATATCCGTGTTTCCATCAATGTGTTGTATAAATCATTGTTCAATCCTTCCAGCATAAATTCCAACAGAACAATTGGTGACGTCACGACAAAAAACCGCATCTATCAGTGCGTACTTTCTTCGATGGAATGAAAAACATGCCCTACTGGTGACTACGGTTGTGGCTTATTTACGGAATGCCAATGAACTCAATATAATATTGAGTTCATTGCGGAATGTCAGTCATTTGCCAAATTATAGTTTTGATCGTTATTTTAAAAATTCATGCTCTGCCAGTAATTGATTTTCAATTATGGAACCCATAAGTATCTAATTCTTGTGCACAGTAAGCACAAGCAACTCATAAGTGTCCTAAAAATTAGAAAAAAAAGTCATCAAACTAAAAATATATCGAATATTCCTAATTTATTTCAGTGAATGAATCCATCGGAACTCGACGCAATAATAAATTTATTATTTGTAAATCGAAAAATCAAACCGAAAACTAAAACTCGTCAACGTCAACTCAAATTCACCGAACTTACCAGATAAAATCCACGGTCGTTCTGGTGACAGTGAATGACGTTTTCTTGTTGTGTTGAGAATTTATTGAACCACGTTTAATTTCAGATTCTGCTTCACCAATCAGAATTCGAAACGTTAAACGCGAAATCAAAGAATCTTCTTTGGCAAAATGTCAAAATAGACGAATAATATGAAACATTCTGTAATAATATGGAAGTTATGATGATGTTTTCATGATTTTTTCGTGAATCCACAGAATAGTAGATAGGTATACTGTTCAATTCATTATTTTCTTGTTGAAGATTGATTTTTCTCTTCAAGTATTGAATGTGGATCAATTTTCATCACCGCCAGTTCTAGCAACTCAATATTATTGATTATCTGATCAATATTATTGTTTTGATTATTTACTTCATTTCAGGATGAAAAACAAATAACAAAACCAAGGAAACTGAGCCATAAAAAGTCACGATTTTTTGTTGTTGTGAATGACATTTTCTCACGTTTAATTTCAGATTCTGCTTCACCAATCAGAATACGAAACGTAAAAAGCAAAACGTCAAAAGTTTGGTTGTGAACGCCGCTTAAAGCGACATTCGTGAATGGCGATTGGCGTGTGGCGTGACTGGCGTGAATATTATTGAAATCTCAATTAAAATATTTGCATAAAAAGCCAACAAAAAGCATCCCAAAATATAAAGGATAAAGAATATTACTCACTGACCACACACTAATCAAGAATAATACACTTTTATGCCGATATTGGAATATTGGAAATAGTTGATTGGCAATCTTTCATATGATGAAGTAATTTTTATGTTGAGATTATTTCCCCAAAAATCCTGTTTCTGGAAAAATGCCCACTATAAAATTATCAGCAGGTAACATTATAGAGGACGCAAGTGATAATGAAGTTTCTGGTAATGAATCTGAACGTTCAAACTCCAGCCGCGAAAACGATGGGGCCCACGATTCTACTGGAGATGAACCAGACTCAGATGATAGTTCTGAAATGGATGAAAGTGAGTGTGATTCGAGGCGGAATACACTATTACAACATGTTCAAGACTTGGAGAGTCAATTTGGACAGCTGAGAGAACAGTTGTATAGAGAAAGGATGTCTCAGGTTGAAATTCAACTAGCAGAAGTGAAAACTGGAAAATCCAAAGATTACCTTGTAGCATTATCTGAACTGCAAGAAAATATGAGAGTGAGAATTGAGGTAGCTGGAATTCTCAGACAACTCAAACTTCAGAATATTGCTAATCAACAAGAAGCTGAAGAACAAGCAGCTTCACAGAATTTTGAAAGTGAAAAGAACCTTGCTGCAGACTATTATTATAGTGAATTGATGGATACCATAAGGCGATTAGAAGAAGACAGGCATAACAGTGAAATAAGCTGGGGAGAAGGAGGGGAGTGGGGTTTCAGATCTAGGTCTAGAAATAGAAAAAAAGCTGTTACAGTTTCTGGACCTTATATAGTGTATATGCTCAAACCACAGGATATTTTGGAAGACTGGACTGTTATTCGAAAAGCCCTCAAGAGGACTTCTTGACAATATTCTAGTTCCCTCATTTTGTCATAAAAAATGCTAATTTATGAATTTGAAACTGTATTCACCATTATTCACCCAATCCTGTAATTGAAAAGTGATATCATAATTGAATGAGTATTGAGTACTTAAATGTAATCATAATAAAATGTAACTTTGAGCTTTCAAAAAAATTGGCATTTACTGTGAAATTTCTCTATGTTCTTCTGGCCATGCAAAAGAAGAGGAGGTAGGAAATTGAGTTTTTTGAATTTTGGAGGTAATAAATTCATATGAATATTAATTTTTTCTATAGAGAGAATTACCAAGCATAGTTTGTTCTACAGACAAATATGTGCTGACTCTGAAATCTGACTGTGATCTGCGATTATTTAGAGATTGTCGATGGATATTGGATAATCTATGGATTATTTCAAATATGAAAAAATGTCAAACGCCGAAACGCCACTGAGATTTTAAAATTTATCTGACAGTGACATGATTGACGAGTGACATTAGTGACAATCATGTGACAATCTTGAGTGACAATATCACTCCACTTGGTTGATAGCCCTAGCAGCTCAGGCCACCCAACAAACCGAAGGAAGAAGAATTTGATTGACGGTTGACAAAAATGAAATTTGGAAATGGAAATGTCAGTAATGTGAGATGGGAGAATGGGAGTAATGTGAATTAAATAACTAAAAATATAACAAGAAAAATTATTATCTGTTTCAAATATTTATTGCATTGTTACAATTGTATTGTTACAGATTTTTTATCATCTCACATCTTCAGATTCCTCAATGAGTATTCATTTAGGATAAAATTACAACTGATGTTTGTTCCTTTACAAAAAGAAAACATTGCACAACTGGATCCTCCATAACCATTATGAAGATTATGAAAACATGTAAAAGTATAGTGCAAAGCAAACATTGATTGTTGACATAAGCGGTGATGTTTAATTTAGATTTCAAACATGTTCTTACAGTACAACGCTGCTACCTTGTGTGTACATTACAGCTTGTTTATGAAATTAAAAAATGTATGGTTCACTGATGTATTCAGAGGTAATTACATAGGTGTAACAGAAATTTGCTTTCAATACCTAATATTTTTTCTGTTTTGATAGCCACTCTGAGCAGTAAGATGCCACAAAGATAAGTCTACCTCCTTCACTTATTTCATGAAATAATGGGAAAGAATAATAAAGAAGACTCATCTTCTTATGTTAAATCTGATATACAAGATGATAATCCTTCAGAACTGGTTGATGATGATCACAATCAACTGTCTCTTGATCCCAAGTTGCAGTTATATCTTTCTCAGATCTCTTCAGAATCAGGATTTTGGAGCAAGATATTTCCCAGGCCATTTGAGAGAGCATCACAAAAGTCATGGTGGGATCCTACATTTGATTCTGAAATTCTGGAGGAGCAGTTCAGGAAAAGTTCAAACCCTCGCAACAAAGTAAAATTCAGGTGAAGCTCATTCTTTTGAATAATTGGCTGCAATACTCAAAATCACAGGCTTCAATATGCTATCTGACATTTACTTATAAGGAGTATGATACCAAAGAATTTTGGAACAAATTTAAATACAAATTATTTATGTCCAGGAACTGTCTTGTATCCTGAACCAATATCTATATTAAAAAGAGTTCATGATGATGAAAAAAGTATGAAAGAAAACTGGAGAAATATTTAATAAAAAAAATCAACAATCCTTGGAACATCATGAGACAATAATTGATGAACCACCTCCCAAACCAACTACTCAAGTGATGTTAACAATATTTTCATTCATTATATTACATTCATATACCATATATGGACACAGTAGACAAGGTCCTCACTAGTTATTCTTGTTAACTACTCACTATCTTTATTTTATAGTCCCTTCAGTGGACTAGAATTGGCTTTGGAAAAAAAACATATTTTGCCAGAGCCATTAGCTTGTATTGTGATTTTCTATTTTTGGAAGTAAATAACCATCCCATATCTCCCTGCTAACTACTGGTCTGTTACAGGTTACAGTACCTTTAAGAATTTTAATTTTTTTTGAGTAATTTGCATGGATTGATTTTTGTCCTACTGTTGAAGACATTAAGTACATATTAAAAAAAAAATAGCACAGAGTATTGAGACAAGCAATAATAGCCCTGTTGGTAAATTTTGCAGTCTCAGCTGTGTATTTGACTGAATTGTCCCATTTGTCATTACAATGATGGAAATGTCATTACATTATGTTTTCATTGATGAAAAATAGGCCTTATGTTTTCATTGATAGAAAATAGGCTTACTGGTCTGTTACAGGTTACAGTACCTTTAAGAATTTTAAATTTTTTTGAGTAATATGCATTCATGGATTGATTTTTGCCCTACTGTTGAAGACATTACATATTTAAAAAAAAAGCACAGAGTATTGAGACAAGCAATGATAGCCCTGTTGGTAAATTTTGCAGTCTCAGCTGTGTATTTGACTGAATTGTCTCATTTGTCATTACAATGATGGAAATGTCAATACATTATGTTCTCATTGATAGAAAATAGGCGTATGCCTCCTATTGGAGTTCTTGGAAGCTGTCAAAGCTTGCAGTCTCAGCTGTGTATTTGACTGGATTGTCCGATTTGTCATTACAATGATGAAAATGTCATTACATTATGTTTTCATTGATAGAAAGTAGGCGTTGGAAATGTCATTACCTTATGTTTTCATTGATAGAAAATAGGCGTACCTAGTCTGTTACAGGTTCCAGTACCTTTAAGAATTTTAATTTTTTTTGAGTAATATGCATTCATGGATTGATTTTTGAGCAATAATAGCCCTGTTGGTAAATTTTGCAGTCTCAGCTGTGTATTTGACTGAATTGTCCCATTTGTCATTACAATGATAGAAATGTCATTACATTATGTTTTCATTGATAGGAAATAGGCCTTATGTTTTCATTGATAGAAAATAGGCCTTATGCTTTCATTGATAGAAAATAGGCGTACCTAGTCTGTTACAGGTTCCAGTACCTTTAAGAATTTTAAATTTTTTTGAGTAATATGCATTCATGGATTGATTTTTGAGCAATAATAGCCCTGTTGGTAAATTTTGCAGTCTCAGCTGTGTATTTGACTGAATTGTCCCATTTGTCATTACAATGATAGAAATGTCATTACATTATGTTTTCATTGATAGAAAATAGGCTCACTGGTCTGTTACAAGTTACAGTACCTTTAAGAATTTTAATTTTTTTTTAGTAATATGGATTCATGGATTGATTTTTGTCCTACTGTTGAAGACATTACATATTTTCAAAAAAAAAAAAAAAAAATAGCACAGAGTATTGAGACAAGCAATAGCCCTGTTGGTAAATTTTGCAGTCTCAGCAGTGTATTTGACTGAATTGTCCCATTTGTCATTACAATGAAGGAAATGTAATTACATTATGTTTTCATTGATAGAAAATAGGAGTACGCCACCTATCGGAGTTTTTGGAAGCTGTCAAAGCTTGCAGTCTAAGCTGTGTATTGGACTGAATTGTTCGATTTGTCATTACAATGATGGAAATGTAATTACATTATGTTTTCATTGATAGAAAATGAGCGTACGCCACCTATCGGAGTTCTTGGAAGCTGTCAAAGCAGCATGTTCACCCTGTTTCATCGCATATATCTACTACTCATATATGAATCATAGCTATCCTCAAAGCGGGACCAACTTCTGTCTCTATATGTAGATAATGAAATCGAAGGGAAAAAATAATACGAAACTTGTTAAACCAATATTGCTGTTTAAGGATGCCGACGTAGGGAAAAAATAATACGAAACTTGTTAAACCAATATTGCTGTTTAAGGATGCCGACGTAGGGAAAAAATAATACGAAACTTGTTAAACCAATATTGCTGTTTAGGATGCCGACGTAGGGAAAAAATAATACGAAACTTGTTGAACCAATGTTGCTGTTTCCATCCTTCACTTTCCGTCCTTATAGATTCAAAAAGTACCTCTCATTTTGGTCCCATTTTTGTTGAGATATCTATAGGCAATGGGACATATATAGAAATGGTACATAATTATATGTTTCATTGGTTCACATTCGTTTTTTGTTTGTGCTTATTGGTCATATCATCAAACAAACCCCTCAGAAGTTCTCAAATTTTGCAGTCTCAGCTGTGTATTTGACTGAATTCTCCGATTTGTCATTACAATGATGGAGATGTCATTACATTATGTTTTATGATAGAAAATGAGCGTACGCCACCTATGGGTGTTCTTGTAAGCTGGCAAACCAGCATGTTCACTTTGTTTCATTGATTCACATTTGTTTTTTGTTTGTGCTTATTGTCATATCATCTAAGCAAACCCCTCAGAAGTTTTCAAGTTGTTGTCACTATAATTGGGACCTGTGGTTTATAATTTATGATCTTGATAAATTACTGTCTACATTTTCTCTGAAGATCTTTGTTTATACAGGTTGAGTCAGAATAAGATCGACAAACTTCGAATACGGATTCCTAGCCTCATTTTGAGATCAAAAGGACGTATGTCCTACAATGCATCCTCTCTGAAATACAGGGTGTCAAAAATACAAAAAGACAAGAGTTTTATATTAATATCTTTGAAACCCCTGTAGGAAAAAAAATCAAACTTGATATACTATTCCAGAATAATCACCCTAATTACTTGGAGTTTTCAGTTTTGAATTGTATTTACCAGTGGCGTAGTTACGGGCGTATGTCGCCACTTCCTCTTTCATATTTTTTCTTTTTTCATAGATAGATGAAATGTCAAATTGGTTTATGACATCAGTAAGGCTCATTGATATCTAACCTAAAACTAATATCATTCCACATGTGTAAGTGTAGAGGTTCCTGAGATATATGTGAAAAACTAATGATATGCCTTGAGGTTATTGATTAGAGACCCAACTTGTTGTGAGATATCGAAAACTGTCTTAACCTCCTGAATATTTTTGAATGTTGAGAATATTGGAAACATAGTTATGGTGAGTCTGGAGTGGATTGACAAACTTATTTTTTATTCCATAAATTATTGCAAGGTGAACAGTTTATATCAAGTCAAGTCTCTAAGTGCAACCTGTATGAGATACTAGTTGTTGAATATATGAAAAAATTGAGCATTACAATATTTTTTCTTGTACACATATTACATGTATCAATATTACCTGGAGACATATCTTTAGTTTATTGCAAATATCTCAGGAACCTCTACATTAAGGCACATGGAATAATATGACTTTTATGTGGAATATTAATGGGCGAGAAAGAGACAGTGGACTGTAAATTTGAGTTGAGTGAAAGTATGAAGGTTTTCGAATGACAAGAGGTTGATATGGCCACTCACCTGACGATCTGTCGGACCTCTTCAAAATCCTGTTTTGGCGGCCGCCTCAGGCACTCTTCTCGCACGAATCTTATCGAACATGGTACACGGGCACTATGTCATCACACTTGATGCAATTATATTATGGACACAATGTCATTGAGGTAATTAGCGAGTTTTAATTGGGTTATTACACCGGTCCCGTCTTAATGCCGTGATATTCCTTTTTTGAGCGCCTGGTCACCTTTTTGGTTCACACATGCGTATATTTGGTACGCGGTGGTCCATTAGTGGCATAAGTGACCGGAAGATACCTCTTGCCTCTTGTCATTATCACGCGGTAATTTGAATTGTATCAATGAATGTGATAATGAAGTGATTTGCATAATTTTGGATTTATATTATAATTATTATACTATACTATATGAAAACTGAACATACCGCCCACCTAAAATGTATATTTTATGAATATGTTTAACATGATTAATTTTACTAATGATTATACTTACAAATGTATGTACAGGAAAACAACTAGCCGAGACAAATATTATTCGGGGTTGCAGATGGGCAACGGGCAAACTTTGCTAACAGGTCGCCTAAAGGAACCTTTAACTGTACGCACGGTAACCACCCTAGTTACACCATCTTGGCCGGGATGAATTTGCTCTACCCTTTCCATATGCCACTTCAATGGTGGTGAAAGCTCATTCTTTAATAGAACGAGGGTATTGAGCTCTATCGGGATGGAAGGCTGCATCCATTTGCTCCGCTGCATGAGGTTGTGCAAATATTCGCAATGCCAGCGATCCCAAAACGATCGATGGAGTTGCTGCACCAACTGCCAACGGGAGAGACGAGACATTGTTATATCACCTAAGTTGGGATCAGGTAGAGAATTGAGGGGTTCTAGGGTCAAAAAATGCCCAGGAGTCAAGGCCTGAAGATCATTTGGATCCGAACTCACAGGGCACATAGGACGTGAATTCAAGATCGATTCTATCTGAATCAATAGAGTGTTCAATTCCTCATAGGAAAGAATCTGATTTCCTATAACTCGGAATAAGTGAGTCTTGATGCATTTTATTTGTGATTCCCACAACCCTCCGAAATTTGGGCTGATAGGGCTATTGAAATGAAATCGAATTT